ATCTAAATCCTCTTCACAGACACTTCGAAAACGCCAAGAAGCGGCCATCATTCTGTTAACAAGGGTACTCTGCTATGCTACTTACCATCTATCACAGAATAGATAGTGAGTAGCGTAGCCAGTCAGAGAATGGCATTCTTGATAGAACGCTAGTAGATTTACACTTGTCTAAAACTTGATAGTAACACAGAACTAGCACGAGCTGTTGGTGTAATGATGGTGTAAGCAAGGAGAATTTACATGCATACGATCAAAGTAAACAAGTTGTTTCCCTTTTTTCATTGCAGAATTTTTTAAAATAGAAAACATTCTATAATTTGATAGAAACAAGAAAATTAAATGCCATTTTATTTTATCAATACCTGCTATCTCCATCAGTTGCAAGCTCTGTTTTACCACCAAATCTGACTTGACACTAGGAGCAAAAACAAATCAAGAAAAAATTTCACAATGAGACCTTAGCTTGTCACTTAAAAGTTGTTTGAAGACACTTGCAAGAAATGAAGAGAAAAAAAGGAGAGAATAAATCAAGCAATAACTCTGAGATGTTTGTTTTCTCCTCCAAAATTCTCATATGGTTCAAGAGGAAACTGCAATAAATGCATGATTTATCAGCTATATTATCTGTACCCACCCTTAAGGTCATTCCCCAGTATTGCATTGCGCATCCCTACTACATGAAGAAAAGAAAGAGATTGATTCACAACAATGTCGTTGATTAATTAGTTTCTAGGATTTGCCTCATTACGTGAATAAAGTAAAACAATTTGTCACTCACGCAAAGAAAGGTAGAATCTGTAGTAGAGTGGTTTTTGTAGTTTCGCTGCGCAGTCCTTGATCACTTGTTACATATAAATTCACTACTCTTCTCAAGTAATCCTGCAGTAATCTTCTACGATCCTCCACAAAACGAGAATCCTACGAAAGAAACACGCCAGGAATAATTAACAATTAGACCCGTAGCCCGCAAGGGCTACGGGTCAATAGCCCATGAGGCTTCG